GAAATTTTCAATAACTTTCTATTACCTTTATGATAAAACCAGCATCCTTCAAAATGGTCTTCTAAGACCTTGCGTAAACTATCACTCATATAGTATGCACATAACAAATTATTAGTATTTGCTTACTATTAGTTATGAGCAAATTATATCCAAATCCTGCCCTCAATATGCTTGCTAATTAGAAAGGAGAAATGCAATCAATCAAATAATTCTACAATCAATTGTAAAAATGTAACTATGACCAGTATTAAAAAGGCAATAGAGCTTTGTTAACCTGTCATAAAGGAATTTGATCTAGGCATAGAAGTGAATGAAGGCTTGATTAACGTAAAATGTTTGAGCAGAATCTAAAGAAAGATTAAGAAATAACTTGAGTAAAAAAATTTTAAAGATTACTCAGAGTATATCATCATGTTCAAAGCATATAAAAAAGATTATTTAGATCCTTTACAGACAGAAAACATACTTTGTATGGTTCTATTCATTTATATATGTTAACAATCATTTTGTTTGGTGTGCACTGAAAAGGTGAATATTCTGCTGTTAGGTGCACTGCAAAAAATATTGTAAACGGCTTAGTGAAATCGCAACTATAACTGTGGATTTTTTAATTTCTCAATGTGGCCACTTTTTGGTTCATGTATTTAGGTGGTCTTTTAGTAGGTATACATACATTTTTTTTTTATTATGAAATTCACATGATGAATTGAACTCTATCATTATGAAATTTCCTTCTAATATTTTTCCTCTGAATATAAGTACACCTCTTTTTATTGTGTTTTGCAGATACTGTGTTTTCATCAACCTAAAGACTATATCCTCTATACCAGCAAAAAGGCTATGAGTTGTTGAAGAATCAGATGATGGTTGGCATTTTTTAACAATAAACTATTTCTAAATTTTAAAAAAATTCTTTTTAATCCTCACTTGAGGATATTTTTTCATTGATTTTTAGAGACAGTGGACAGCATGGAGGGACAGAGAGAAATAGAGAAATAGAGAAACATCAATGTGAGAGAGACACATTAATTGGTTGCCTTCTGCACAGTCAGGGTTGGGGATCAAACCTGCAACTCAGGTTTTCGCCCTTGACTGGAATCAAACCTGTGACCCTTTGGTCCTTGGACTGATGCTTCAATCACTGAGTCAAACCAGCCAGAGTCAATAAACTATTTTTAAATTAAGGTATATACACTGCTTTTTTTTTTTAATCTTAGACAGAATGCTATAGCACACTTACTAGACTACAGTATAGTATAAGCATAACTTTTATATGCACTGGGAAACCAAAAAATGCACATGTCTCCGTGTATTGTGATATTCATTTTAAGGTAGTGGTCTGGAACTGAACCCACAATATCTCTGAGGTTTGCCTGTATGTACATATGTACTAAATTAGCCCCTCCAGAATTCTTTTAATTAACATTGGCATGAGATTTTTTCTATCCTTTTACTTTCAACTCTTTGTGTCTTTATATTTAGTGCATTTCTTAATATAATTGCTTTTCTTTTGTATCCAATCTGACAATCTCTACCTTTTGTGCATCTAAAGCATTTTCATTTAATGTAGTTATCCATATAATTAGGCTTAAAGTCTATTGTTTTGTATTCCTCTCATCACTTCTTTTCCCTTTCTTCCCTTTTTCTTTCTTTTTTTGAATTAGTTGAGTTTTATTTAGATTCTATTTTATCTCTTTGATTGTCTTATTAGCTATAACTCTTTACTTTGTTATTTTAGAAGTTGCTTGTATTATGACCACAATTTAGCATCTTAAAACAACACACATTTGTTATCCCCCAGTTTCCATGGATCAGAGTTTCAGGCAGTTTCCATGGGACAGGATTTTGTATTCTTCACATAAGGTTGCGATCAATGATATTAACTGGATAGTGTTCGTTTTGGAGCCTCAGTTAGGGAGATTCTGTCTGCAAGCTTATTCAGGTTGTTAGAATTCATCCTCTTCTGGCTGAAGAGGGCCCCTGAGGGTCCCACCTTCTTACTAGTTGTCAGCTATTTGCTTCTTTAAGGCCAACGGGAGGATCTCTCTCACATTTGCTATGGAGTATTATATAACAAAATGGTATTATGAGAATAACTTGTCATCACCTTTGCCTAATAAGTAGCCTAATCAACAGAATGATATCTCACTATTACAACATCCGCTCATTTAGAAACAAGTGACAGCGAGTGGCAAGCTCCACCTGCACTCAAAAGATTATGTAAGAGGGTGACTCACTGGTGGCCACCACAGGGTATATGGACACCATTGCTTAAAAGATTGTAGTACACAGCTTTTAACTGCTTCCACATGATATACAACTTCACATAAACTATAAAGATAAATAATTTACTTTCATTTCTTCTCTCCCCCACTTTGTGCTACATTTTACTTTTGCATGTTATAAATCCCACATTACATTATTGCTTTTTCTTTGTTGATACAATTCAGTTATTTTTCTAAAGAAATAGGCATTAAGAAAAGCATATATATTTACTCATAGTTATAATTTCTGGTACTTTTCATTCCTTTGTATACAGTCAGATTTCAATCAAATGCTTTGTTCTTTCTGATAGACTTTCACATTTCTTGTCTTGCAGATGTGCTCATAAATTGCTCCAGGTTTTGTATGCCTGTCTTTAGTTAACCTTCATTTTTGGAAGGGATATGTCCTGTATATAAAAATCAAGGGTGGCTTTTATCATGATTCTAGTAGTACTTTAAACATGTTGTTCCACTGTCCTGTTCCTTGTATTGTTTCCCACAGGAAATTAATTGTAATCCTTGCCTTATTTTTGTTTCTCTACATGTAACATGTCGATAGTTTTGAGACACATATGCTTTGATACAGTTTTCTTCCTGTTTCTTGTGTTTGGGGTTAGTACCATTTCTTAATATGTGAAAGTATAGTTTTTATACATTTCAGTATTTTTGGTAATTATTACCTTTTTTTTTGTCCTCTTCCCTTGCCTCTCCTTCAGGGACTCCACTTGCAAGTACATTAGGCTGTTAGAAATTGCCCCAAAGCTCACTGTTACTTTGTTCATTTTATTTTAAACTTTCTGTGATTCGTGTTAGTTTGCAAGGCTATGTCTTTATTTATCTTCTATTAAACAATGTTTAATATACTATTAATCTAATTACATCTATTACATTGTGATTTTAACCTCTACAGTTTAAGTATTATATGTTTTATATCTCTGATTAACATTTTTAAGAGCTTTATTGAGACCTATTTAAAGTGTAAACTGTATGGCTTTTTGTATAGAATTGTGTAACCTTCCCATAATCTTAGAACATTTTTATTCCCACCTCAAATGAAACCCCACTTCTACTTGCAGCCCCCTTCCCAGTCTCCCCCCAACCCTATCAACCACCAGCTTTGGGCAACCACTAAACTACTTTGTTTCTCTATACTTGCTTAATCCAGACATTCCATATAAATGGGGTCATGCAATATGTGCTCTTTTGTGATTCATTTGTTTTACTTAGCATAATGTTTTCAAGGTTCATCCATGTTGTAGCATGTATCAGTAACTCATTCTCTTTTATTGCTGAAAAATACTCTAGTGAATGGATATAGATTTTGTTTTACCATTCACCAAGCTGATGGGTATTTGGGCTGTTTCTACTTGTGGCCCTTTGAAAAAAATGCTGCCATGGACATGTGTGTACAAGTTTTTGTGCGCACATATTCATTTGCCTAGGAGTAGAATTGTGGTTCATATGGCTACTCCACATTTAACATTTTTAGAAATTATTAAACTGTTTCCCAAAACAGATGTACCATATTACATGCCTACCAGTATCATGAGCATCCCACTTTCTCCACATCCTTTATTCTTTTTATTATAGCTCTGCTTATCTGTTTGAACATATGAAATAAGTATAAAAGTATTTTAATGTCCTTGTCTATTCATTCTAATATCTATTTCCGTTCTAATGTCTAGCAGATTTTTCTCCTCACTTTGGGTTTTCTTTTCTTCCTTTTTTTTTTCCAGCTTGATAATTTTTAATTGGATACCGAGCATTGTTAACTGTACTTTATTGTTTACTGGATATTTTTGCACTTCTACAAATATTGAATTTTGATTTATCATACAGTTAAGTGATTGGTTAACAGTTTGATCTACTTGGCTTTTGCTTTTAAGATTTATTAGGTGGCTCTGGGGCAGTGACCAGCTTAGGGCTGATTATTTCATACTACTAAGGCACCACCTGTTTGTGTACTCTACACAATGCCCCATGGTTACGTTTTCCAACCTGACTGGTGGATACAGTCACTACTTCTGACCCTACATGATCTCTAGAAATATTTAAAACCCTTCTCGAGTAGTGTCCTCAGACACAGGATGCTCAGTTCTGAGCTGAACACTTGGGAAAACTCTGCAGAACTGAGTTCTCGTTCTGGGTAACTCTGTCCTTTCTCCTAAATGTTGCTGAGAACATCTGCTTTGGTCTCCCCAGAATGTCGGATCAATCTTGTCAACGCAGGTAATCCGCTGGGTTCTGCTTGGGTTCTCTCCGCGCACCACATCCTGGAAAATCTTTAAAGGCAGGACGTTTTTGAGCTGGTATCATTGGTTGCCTGTGTCTCCAGGAGCACTGTTCTTTGTAACTGATGCCAGGTGTCTTGGAAAACACACCCAGTCTTCTCTTTCTACCGCATAATTTTTTAAAAATAAAATAAATGCTGAGAGTTTCCCCTAAAACCCAAACAGTGCGACAATTTTCCCTCCCTTACCGTCTAAGTACCCAGCCAGACGCCGCCGCAGTGTTAACTAACCACTTAGTCTCAGCACCGCCTACAGGCTAGCGCGCAAGCGCAGAACTTCTGCGCTCCCGCCTAGATAAGCTTTAACTGCGCCTGCGCCACACAGCGCCGCGCCAACGCGCGAATCCGCACTTGCCAATCAGAGTGCACGATGGTCCTTGATTCCTGCCCACTAACCGGACAACCAATCGCCTGCCCCGGCGCGCAGTCAGCAGTGAATCCAAAAAGGAAAAGGGATTTGCGGGGAACAGAGCGGAAACGCCGCGCGGGGAAGGATGGAGGCTGCAGCCTCAGAGTAAGTGTCTGCCGCTAGGTGCCAGCGGGGGCGGACTCGGGTGGCTCTTGCGGGTCCCCGAGTACAGCTGGCAGTTCCGTGGACCCCAGACTTAGGTTCTTGCGATGCCGTGCCTCTCTCGAGGTGCGGCCTGTCGGGGGCCCCGGTCGCTCCCAGCTTGGACACCCCCCGGGGGTGTGTCCTGGAAGGGGAGGGTCTCACCCGTCTGCCTCCCATCTCTTCGCGGACTGCACCGTCTTAACAGGAGCCGCTCCGCCCCCAGGAGACGTCCTGGAAGGGCCATCTCATTTCTGTCTCACCTGACCCAACAAACTCTCCCACTGGGTTATTTTATCTTGGTCCCGGCCTCCCAGCGGGCAGCTCCAGCCCCTAACGGGAGAACTCGGAGAACCTAGACCTAGGCTTCTAGCCCGCTCCCAGCCCCTCCCCAAGTATTCTGAGGTGCTACCCAAGGTGAGTAGTGCTCTCTGCCTGGAGGGCACCCCACTGCCCATCAGTTTTGGCCTTCCTTTTTCTGTACATTTCCCTTGACTCAGATGTTTTCTCTTCAGTGAGATACTCCCCACTCCACACTCCACACTCTTTATTCCCCTTGCCCTGCGTATTTTTCTTCATGGTATTTATTAGCTATATATGTTCTCCATACACATCCCATTCCTGGTCCCAGGTGGTCCTTTAGGCCTGTGTGTAGGTACTAGTCAGGGCAAGACTCAGCATTGACACATATATCTGTGTATGTGCCTGCGTACAAAGGTTCTCTGGTAAGCACCCTAGGAGTCTGCAGTTACCCTTGTTTCCTCACCCCTTCAGGGCCCTGGCCAAGCTGGTAGACATCCTGGAGCCTAGAGGCCTGCAAGAGGAGGCAGAACTGCCCGGACAGATCCTGGCTGAGTTTGTGATGGTATGTTCAAGATGGCAGCCTGTTTTTCATAAGCCAGGGACTACTTCTGGGCCCTTCTCTTGAGATACTGGGCAGCACTGATGGTGAGCACATTAGAAGGCAGCCTTGTTGGCCTGTAGTACAAGGAGGTAAGGATGTTCCCTGCCTCTCCCTTCCCTCTGAACAGGATTCCCGAAAGAAAGACAAACTTCTCTGCAGCCAGCTTCAAGTAGTAGACTTCCTGCAGAACTTTTTGGCTCAGGAGGACATTCTCCAGGGTCTGGACCCCTTGGCTTCTGAAGACACAAGCCGTGAGTAGACAGGGGGTTGGAATAAGGACTGCCCCAGCTGGGGAAGGAAGGGAAATGTCAGTCAGGTCAGCTGGTGGATAGACTGAGGCCCCAGAATTTCAGGCTAGCAGGCCACCTCCACTCAAGTCCCCATTCTGGTGGCTCATCTCAGGACAGAAGGCAATTGCAGCCAAGGAGCAATGGAAAGAGCTGAAGGCTACCTACCAAGAACATGTGGAGTCCATCGCAAAGGCCCTAACCCAGGCCCTACCCAAGATGGAGGAGGCCCAGAGGAAGCAGGCACAGCTCCAGGAGGCCCTTGACCAGCTCCAGGCCAAGGTACACCGAGGGTGAGGGGAGGGAAGGACATTCAGAGAGGAGGAGGGCAAGGGTGAGCATGCCAGGTTGGACCCACTGACCACATCCCAAAATTCAACCAGAAAAATACATTCCTTCTTGCCTTTTTCCCCCTCCTTTGCTTACCTGCAGAAGCAAGTGGCCATGGAGAAACTCAAAACAGCCCAGAAGCAGTGGCAGCTGCAACAGGTGTGTCCCTTCCCCTGGGAAAATACCCCTTTCTACCACCATGCTATTGCATGGAGTAAGTCCTTTGCCAGGAAAACCTTCATCTTTCTGTGAGGCGTTGCAGTATGTATACGTACCAACAAGGACTTGATTCTTAGCATCATTATTTACAACCTTTGGCAGTCACCTAACTTTCTGTGTTTCTGTTTCTTCATGTGTGAAATGGTGGCAATATTAGCACCTGTCCTGAAAAGTTTGTTAACATGATTAAGCAGTTAATACAGCAAGTGCTTAAAATGTGTCCGGCAAATAGTAAACTAAGTAAGTGTTATTGTCTTTGTGCCGTGGAGGCTGAAGGGGTAGGGGAAAGGCTGTTCAGCATCTGATGAGCCATGTCGCATTCTCACTCCTGTTAGGAGAAGCGTCTACAGCACTTGGCAGAAGTTTCCGCAGAGATGAGGCAGCGTCAGACAGGAAGTCAGCAGGAGCTTGAGCGGCGATATCAGGAACTTGGAGCCCTGAAGCAGCAGGCAGGGCAGGAGTGGGACAAGCTGAAGAGGTGAGACTGGGCTCATGGGCTACATTGCAGGCCCAGAGTGGTCCAGCTAAGGTTCCTCCCTTCACACCCACCTCTTTTTCCCAGGCACCAGACCTTCCTCCAACTGCTGTACACCTTGCAGGGTAAGCTGCAATTCCCTGAGACAGAGGCAGAGCTACCACAAGATTCGGATCTTCCTAAGGATAAACCCCAGCAGCTGACCCAGCCCCAGGAGCAGACCAGTGGGGATACCAAGGGACGAGATGGAGGTGTGTCCTCCAAGGTGTGTGAAAGATGGGACAGAGGGGTAGGGAAATAGAGAGAGAATCTGAGAGATGGACCTTAGCCATTGCTCATACCATTTCTCCCCAAGGCTGACGAAGTACCACCTGCTAGCACTGCAAACTTGCCATGACTCCTGGGGGACAGCAACGTGGGAAAGGATCCTAGGTTAGGTAAAACTCCAACCCAGGGTCTTGTGTTTCTGGACTGCAGGAATGGGAGAAGGGAGGGTCTCTGGTTTACCTGTCTATATGAGCTCAGCTGTTCATGGTTCTTTGGAAAGTGGGGAGGAACAAGGGGTGTATCTTATGGTTGAAGCTTAGCACCTCACCCCCATGCCCGACCTACCCTGTTCTGACCCCTCTCTTACTCTTTCCCAAACCCATTGCCCTGCCCTCATTGCAGGTGCATTGTGAACTTCTGAGCACAGCTTGATTTCTGACCAAGACCCAGGTGGGGCCAGGCTCTGGATTCTGTTGATTAAAAGCCCTGGAGCTTTCTCAGTTGCACGTTTGTCTGTTTACCTTCATATGTTGGTGGGAAGAGCCACATTCAGAGGCCAACAACATGCAAGTGCTGGGACTGGTGAATTTGGAGAGTGTAGATGGGTAGAGGGCCCTGGCCTTGGGGCCTCAGGAGGTGCTTACCCAAACCAGTATGGTGCAAAAAGGCTGAACTTAATTTGGGGAGGAGAAGAATGCTTTATGGAGGTCATTAGATACGGGAAGATAATTTTAATCACTTATCTGAATGTTTATGGCAGCTCTGCTGTGTGCCCGCCCTCTCACTGTGAACTGGAGCTACCAGTCCCTTGCCCTGTGGAACATAATGAGTGTGAACAAGTAAACTGATCTATAAGATGACTTCAGAGAGTGGTAGCAAACTAAAACAGTAATATGATAAGGAGCGGTACTGAGAGAATATAGAGAAGACTGTAGCTCTGTACAGGCCCGTGTCTGTGAGTTAGCATTGCCATTGTGTGTGTGCTCCTGTATCTGTGGTTTATTGTTGCTGCTGTTTTTCAATTATAGTTTACATTCATTATTATTCTGTATTAGTTTCAGATGTACAACTTAGTGCTTAGATAATCATGTATTTTTCAGAGTGGTACCCGCTGTTAGTTCAAGTACCCATCTGGCCCCCTACATAGTTATTGCTATATTATTGTGTTTGTTGCTTTCAGTCTCCATTCCTCTTTGTATCTGTTGCTGGGTGTGTGGACATTGGGGGCTCTACTGTGTGTGATTGTGTGTGTGGGAACTACTATCTAAGAGAGAAATATAGTGGAAAACTTATTCTCCATTTGTGTGAGAAAAACTTAACATGCTTTTGAGGAAGAGACGTGGGACCCTTTATTTTTGGTGTGAGGGAGTTTCAAGAAATGTTGGTCCCTCTCCTATCTCAGACTGGGATGCCTTCTCTCAGGTGGTGACTGAGATCCCTGTGCATGCTGATGTTTTGCTCTGCTTTTCTGAGGTGTCCCTAGTTTTCCCGCTACTATTTTCATTGTACTGGCTCTCTTTTTTATGTACAAAATAGGATGGATATCAGAGGTCTTTGAGGGCCTGCATCATGACTAGCCAAGGGAGTCAATGAGGATTGAGGATACTCCTTTAGGGAACACACAAATACCCAGAAAGCCTTCCTTAGTCTACCCATCCCTCCCCCTCCCACACGGTCTCTACTGCAGCTCTCTTGCACCCCAAATACTCAGTCCCATCTTTCCCTCTCTTTCTCCTGGGTAGGCTACCCTACCCCTACAGTCTGGCTTCTTTTTCTAGTCTCATATACTCTAAAATTTTTGCTATACAAATGAGAGAGCAAGAATATATCCACCCTGGGAAAGGTGTGTCTACCAAAGGACACTGGTTTGGAGTCTCCCATTCTTACATATGTTGTGGCTGACAGAAAGTTAACAGGGACCAGAGGACTCCCATGGAGCTCACCAGCAGGGTGGAATTATATCCTGAGATACTCTAAGCCAGGGAACAGGGGAAAGAGATTAGACAAATGTACATGAATCAAACTTAGAGTTCTGTAAAATTGCCGGGAACCAAATTTCTCTAAAGGAATATGGAATGAGTCCATTCACAGTGAGACCAAAGAGTAGAGGAGGCTTGGCTGTCTGCTTTGTTCAAATTCCCTTAATTTGCTTGTAGCTGGAATCTTGATTTGGGCAGAATTGTCTTGACTGACAAGCTCAGCAATTAGGATTCATTTTCAGATAGAAATCATATTTTAGCTTTTAGCTGTTCTCGGTACCCTCGTAGGTTCCCCTAAAGACTATTCTTTTCCCCATTCATTGACACTTGTGGAGACAGATGTGTTTTCTGTAAGAATTATATCTTCCTTTTTAAACATAGTGATTTTACTTTATTGTAGAACATTTTTTTGTTTATTCTGGTTTTAATGTCATATTTTCTAGGTATTGTCATTTTTCTAGGAATTATGTTTTTATAATTTTTTAAGTTTATTGATAGGAAATTGTTATAATTTTTTTCTTTTAATATCTGAAGCTTGTTTTAGGATGGCCTAATGTTACATTCCTGATTTTTTGTGTGTGTCTTATCTAATCTTCGTTGATCTATCTTTCAAATGTTTATTCATTTTTAAATATTCAGAGATTGTCTTTTGTGATTTGCTATTATATGTTTATTCTCGTTCATTTATTTGTAGTAATATCCTGATAATTTTCAACCCTCATACATGCACACTCCACACACAGTCCTGGAAAACAGACAGAATTAGGTAAGATAACCATATAATCTTCTTTTGTTTGCACAGAAAAATAAACCTTAGGACATAAAAATCCTTATTTATGAAGAGATAAATTATCTAAATTACTGGTTGTGCACCAGACTCATACACTTTAGCTGCATTTCCTACCCTCCTTTGGCATTAGATGAGGCCATTGTGACTGTACTGTAGCCGAGTAGATGGGGACAGAACTGATGTATACTACTTCCAAGCCTGGCTTATGAAACCCTCCCACATACCACCTACCTGTTTTTCTCTGACTTGTGGCTAAATTGAAAGGACACTGAAGATCACGAGGAAGGTAGACACACAAAATTGAGGGAGCCTGGGTCTGGGTCATTGTCACTTTGAAGAAAATAATGCAATTGAAGACAACTGTGTCGAGCCATTCTGTGAGTAAGGGGAAAAGTTTTGTACTATATGAAGCCACTGCAACATTGAGGTTGTTATATCGATATCTTAAACCTTCTAGGTCCAATTCTGGTTTCTCCAGGGAAATATTTCAGAAATACCTTCTTTAACTTTTTGTGATAATAACTAAACCTTTTTTGAACTGGAAAAAGCCACTTCTCAAAGGATCATCTCAAGTTAAAAAAAAAAAAAATTGTGCACTACAAATAGAATTTTGATCAAAGGTAGTTTCATTAAGTTCTTCATTTCTCACACCAAAGATGCAATAATATTACCACAATGAAAATATATCGTACTTGAAGAAACAATTGTTGAGATGTGAAATTTCGGGAGTACAAACATTAATCTATAGGAGAAGTGTTTCTTCCTCTTCAGTATCTTGGAAGAATTTGAGGGTTGGCTTAATTCTTCTTTAAATGTTTGGTAGAATTCAATAGTAATACCATCTGGTGCTGGGCTTTTATTTGCTGAGAGATTTGTATTACTGATTAAATCAACCTACTAGTTACAGATTCATTGAGATTTTCTGTTTTTTCATGATTCAGTATTGATTGTGTGTGTGTGAGAATATTTAAGTAAGGGAATTAGGTCTTAGAGCTTTTTAGTCCACTATCTTGCTGACATCATTCTGTTGCATTATTTTTACATTTGTGTTAGTAACACAACTGTTGCTTCTCCCTATTGTCTAATTAATTTTCTTCAGTCAAGATCCTTTTCCTCAGGATCCTCTGATTACATCCTGCCACAGTGTCTAGCCATGATTACTGAGTTAGAAGTGTTCCTCAAGACCCAGTACTCTTCCTAGGTGTATCACAAGAAGAATGCTGTCCATCTGAGAAAACATTCATCAGCAAGTAAGGATGCAGTGGGGAGTTATGTTCAAATTCTAGCAGCTTCTTTAAGTAAACTATTTTTTAATTTTATTCAAAGAAATTCAGGGACTATAAACATATCTAAACTTTTGTTTTAGTACATACATTTTTTGGGTGTTTTAAATCTTTGTACAAGGTGCTTTCCTATGCAATCAAAGGAGTACAAAGGCATTTCATACATTTCTGCCTACACATGACATGACCTGTCCAAAGCCATGAACACTTTTATGTGTACCAGTTGAAAAATAGTATTTGAAGGCTAACATCGAGTGTATTCTTGGTTTATTACATCTTAACCAGTTTCTTCCACTGCCACAGCTAGGACCAAAGACCATATACACACTGAAACACACTCCAAAAATACTCTCAGTAAAGGCTTTTATTTACTACTATAATTTACTTTTGTCAAAATCTAAAGTTTACATATTTTTTTCCTACAATCAAGGTCTTCTAGGGTGCATTAGAAATTTCAAATACAGATGCCTTGAGAGCTATCATAAACCACTGGCAGTAGTACAAAGTAGTTCATGAAATAAGAACTTGCTTTTCTTGTTTTTCAGCCAAGAGTTTTCTCTCATTCTTGCACCATTGTGTGTGTATGATTTCATCACTATAATCAATGATTAATACATAAATGACTTATCTTGCCATGAATAAAGTCTGTACTTTACACTGAAGGCAATATGTTGTATTCCAGGGAGTAGTGACCTGGCTTTTGAAAAACATGGATTTATGTTCCATGTTCATGATAACCAACACTGGTATTTTGGGGACTTGATTGGATCATAAATAAAATGAGAATGTTGGAGTAAATTATTTTTTAAAGGTTTTTATACATCTAATCCTCTGTGATTCTCAAATGAAGATAGTAATTTAAATTTTGAATCTGGGTACTATAATATAAATGATAACAAGAATATTTTCATGTGTATCTACCTCAGGAACTTGCCTACCTGAAGCATTTTGGATTAAGTCAGCAGGAATCCCCTACTGAATTAGTGAAATAGGCACCGGGATAAATTATTAAAACCTAAAAAAACAGAATTAAATTCTTAACCAAACGTGCTACAACAGACTTTCAGAGAGTGTTATAGGTTGTCTGAACTTTGCCTTGAGGGTAAAATAGATCACATTGCAGCACATTTTCCTAGAGGGAATGTTCATCACTGGCAAAGAGGATCTTTGGAGAATAACACTATCTGACATACTGCAAATATTCCTTGATTCACTCCTAAGTGAATATGGTACAAATTTATTTAATCAAATTAGGTATTAGAAACTGAAAGCTGACAGAGAAAGTCCCCCCCCCCCCCTTGCTGGAATGTAAGAAAATATTGAAGGAACACAGCCAGTGTGGCTCAGTGGTGGAGCATCAACCCATGCACTAAGAGGTCGCCGTTTCTATTCCTGGTCAAGGCATGTGCCCAGGTTGTAGGCCCAA